CCCCAAAACCCCAAAACCCCAAAACCCCAAAACCCCAAAAATAAGAGATCCCAATATAATAAATAAGTAAAAATGAGTGAAGGCTCTATGGGCGGCTTGATGAACCTCGAAGAAGATCAGTTCAGCAACAACAACGATGAGGTAGATGACTTCCTCAATCAGAATGACGGTGAAGACCAGCTCTGCTTAGATCCTAATTACGAGCAACAAATGCAAGAACAACAATTTATGCAAGGTAGATCTACTTGGGGGCTTTTCTTATAGTTATTTAGACGACCAAAGAGGAGATAATATAGGAGATGAAGGCATAAACTTTGAAAATTTCGATCATGATTATGCAGAAGATCTCCAAGACCCTAGGATCGGAAATGATGTACACCAAAATCCTAAGTAAATCCAAGTTTTATATTCTCATAGCCAATTACTAAGTCCATATAATAACGGAATGAGAAATGATATGAGGCAGTACCAAGACCCCAAAGACAGGAGAGAAGTAAGCATTCCTTAAAATCCTTATAGGATCAATATGTACATCATGAAGAAGAAAAGAAAAATCCAGGTAAGCTGTCCCATCTTCCCTCTAACAATTCATAGATAATATTGGAGAAATGGTGGATGCTCAGGGCTGGATGGAAAATCCGAAACAAGATCCTTATAATTTCGATGAGTACCAAAACATGAACATGGTTAAACAAGATCCTAACAACTGTGATAACTTAATCCTGGATGAAGAGTTTGGAAATGCCAATGCCTTCTCAAAGATGGAGAAGACCAACAAACCCATGACAAAAGAAAACATGTTTGAGATAAAACAAGAAGATCCGAAAGAAATCCAGGGGCTATACGATCCAAAGATGATGGATGATATGAGTCCTTACAAAAAGATCAAGGAAGAAATAAAAGAAGACAAAGAAGTCAGAGTCTTAGAAAAGAACGACCTTATTGACGCTTACTCTTTTATCTCTAGATTTAACGGTCAGATTGTGTGATTTATCTGTCAACAAATCATTCCAGGCGAAGCTGTGAAGGTATTATGTGTTGAATGCTCTCAATCGAGTTATTATGAGGTTCCAATTGATGACTATAACAAAGCTATCTCATGAAATAAGAAAAGAAGCACAAATATCTTGAATGAAAAGGATGAGTTTAAACCACTTGGGATTAAAATGAAATTCACAAGCAACGAGAAACCCAAAGTAGTCAGAAGAGGAAGAACTCCTAATAAACCCACTGATCCTTTTATATTTTGCTTGGATTGCTTAAGAAATGGAAAGGAAAATTTTGACCACTTCAAAACTCACTCCTATCACATTGTTGATAAGCTTGAACAAAGTTTATTTACCAATAGCTTTAATGTCAAAGAAGAGTCTGCATTTATACATGGGGTAGCCAAATGGGGTTTAGACAACTGGCGTACACTATCACGCCACCTGAACCATTCCAAGGATTATAAAGAACTTTGTAATCATTTCTACTCCTACTATTACGATGTATATGCAATAAGCGAGGGAAGTAAAGACCCTCTGAAATATTTGAAGAACAGGAGCAACCACGACATCGATTTGGCCAACAGAGTGATTAATGCACTGACCCAATCAATGGTGCTTTCAAAATTACCTAACGGTAAGGTGCCAAACCTGTATGACCTAACTATTTTTAGAAAAGGAAGAAGTCAACCAAGAACTGCTACAACAAAACCTCCAGCGAGAATTGAAAATCAACAGATTAATGGAGGACCACTTCGAGGCCACCTGTGGGATCGGCAAGGACGCTAACAGGCCAAGGGCCACCAGAGGCCGCCGATCAGAGCTTAACTGCAAGAACAAAAAGATCGCCAAAATTATAAACTACAACGCCAAAAGAAGAGAGTTTACTCGTGATGATGAATGAGAAGAAAATGAAGAGAAGACGATCTGAGAGCTTAACTTTAATGTACCCAATTATGGTGTTGACGGTGAAATAGCTGAGAAAGCAGTCAAGAAAGATGGGAGAAAGAAGAAAAATAAGAAAGATGAGTTCCTCAACCATGATATTCCTGAAGACAAGAAAATAGGCGCTCTTAATCATTATAATAATGTTCTCGATGGATACAAGAAGTACAAAATCCTTCAAGAATGGGGCATGTTTGATTTTGGGAAAAACCCTATAGAAAATATTATCATGGAAACTCCTGAAGAGGTGGACTTCGTCAACTCCATGAAGGTATTTACGAGATATAATACATGTGAAGGCCACATTAGTATGATGAACTCCCTCTTGCTTGAGAAAAATTTGAGAGAATATATTGCTTATCTGAGAACTGTAAACGCAAAAGGAAGGCATGATGCTAATCTGGTTGATACTATCAGTAACAAAAGAATTTTCAAACTCCTTGCCAATAAGATTCAAGATGCTGATTTCAATCCTAATGATATTATTGATTCGAAGGAGCTATCAGATGATGAGCAAGAACAGACTGATCAAAATGAAGCTCCAATTAGAAGAAATTATGAGACTTTATGAAAGAAGTTAAACAGGAAGCTATTAAGACCCAAGATCTGCTATAATTACTCTTGTAGCATCCCTCTACTCCCTGGTTACCATGGCTTAAACGAATGTGAAAGAATGCTAGTCGAGTCTATGAGAATTTACCCAGTGAGATTCCTACAAATAAAAAGAAATATTCTTGAGTTTAGGTCGATGTTAGGAGATAATGTAAAGAACGATCCAAACAAACTTGGTCTAACTCCTCCAGATGCAGATCATCTTACTTTTGCACCCTTCTGGAAGGACATGGTTGAAGCACTAGATAGAGATAAGGGAGATGGAAAGTTATTCCCCAGTCCAATCACCTCAATAGGTAAGTTAGTCATTATAAACTGTATAGAAATAATAAAGAAGATCTACTATATGCTGATGACAAATCAATAATTCAATTACTACGAATGTCTCAGGGGTTTTGGGGTTTTGGGGTTTTGGGGTTTTGGGG